TTTCCCTGCAGGGCCGGTGGGTTCTACACAGCGCAGGTCTGGCCTGGGCTGCGCCTCGTCTCCCTCAACATGAACTTCTGCTCCCAGGCCAACTTCTGGCTCCTCATCAACGCCACGGACCCTGCGGGGCAGCTCCAGTGGCTCATGGGGGTCCTGGCAGATGCTGAGCGTGATGGGGAGAAGGTGAGGGGGGAATTCTGGGGGGAGATTGGGGCGTCCCGGGGTTCCTGGGCACCCCCAAGCCCTGGGTCCCTACCCCCAGGTGCACATCATTGGGCACATCCCCCCGGCCCACTGCCTGCACAGCTGGAGCTGGAACTACTACCGCATCATCAGCAGGTCAGTGCCCACACACACCCCTGGCCCGGACCCCCACCCTGTGCCACACACCCCCAGCCTGGACCCCTGGCCCTAACCCCCACACTGTGTGCCAGACCCCTGTCCTTGTGCCCTGCCCCACATGCCAGACCCCCACACTGCACCCTGGACTCCAGCCCCATGTGCTGGGCACCTCACCTGCACACCAGACTCATGTCCACAGGCCCTGGACCCCCACCCCACACATGAGACCGCTGCCCTGCACGCCACACTCATGCCCCGCATGCTGGACCCCTACACCAGACCTCCACCCCACGGCCTGGACCTCCACTACATGAGTCAGACCTCTCCCCACTCGCCCTAGACCCCCATCCTGTGTACCAAAGACCAAAAGCCCCTCCCCACATGCCAGACCCCCACCCCATGTATCCTGGACCCCCACTCCACACGCTGGACCCCCTTGGGGTGGCATCAGCATGGGAGGGGGGCAGAGGATGGTGTTGGAGCACCCAAGGCTGGGACCCTGAAGCTGCCTGTGCCAGGCAGAGCCATGCCAAGAGGTCTGTGAGTGGCCAGGCCTGGCTCAGGTTGGGGGCCCAGGGTGAGGGGCTGTGGGTCTGGATGCTGCCCCCCCTCACCCCACAATGGCAGGTTCGAGGGCACCATCGCAGCACAGTTCTTCGGGCACACACACCTGGATGAGTTCGAGCTGTTCTACGATGAGGAGACGCTGTCACGCCCTGTCTCCATCGCCTTCGTGGCACCGAG